CACTTAACTCTCCAATAGATCTCCCCTACATTAGGTTGGAAGCTTCTCAAGTTCCTGAACTGTCTTGTATGGCTCACAGTTTATGGCACAGAGCTGCTCACATAAAAGAAATATATCCCCTTTGGTCTGAACTTGTTAAAAGATCCTCCATTATAAAGCAGGGATGAGTATGAAGGCCATGTGACATAGTGATTGTTTTTATAATAGTTCAAGGGCTTGGATCCATTTGCTGATTTCGTTATTCTTGGTGGTCTCTTCTCTCTGCCCAGTGTTTGCTTTTTCAGGCACCTACACACTTCTTTTCTTGGCCCGAACCCTTCAAGGCATTGGATCCTCTTTTTCATCAGTTGCAGGTAATCCAACACTTTCCTCTTTCTTCTTCAACCTTCCCTTCCTTTCTTTTTCCCTTACCCTGTAGTCCCCTCCTCTCTTTCACTTCAGTTCCCTTTCCCAACCATGGAATTCAGATCCTTACATATTAGCAGTAGGATAGAAGCTAGAGACCTCCATATGTCGAGGAGAAGAAAGAGCACTGAAGCAAGAGACAGAGAAGACCTAGTTTTGAATTAGCTGTGTGACCTAGGAGAGTCACAACCTTCCTGTGCCCCAGCTTCCTCATCTGTAAAATGAGGCGGTGGGGCTAAATGACTTGTGAAGTCTCTGTCAGCTTTAAATCCTATGATGCAAAGAAAATCTTGGTTTTGAAAAAGGTACTGGAGTAAAACCTAGTGGGAGGTAGCAAGAATGGGATATTGGAATTCTTTTTTTTTCTAATTTAAGTTGCAAGATTGGCTTGAGGCAAGATTGTCAAATTTACCTTCAGCATGCCTCCTACTCCTGTCCTGGTCCAACCCATCCACTTCATGTTATAGCTCTCAATATCCACCCCTTCCCCTGTTGTTCTTTCCCCATAACCTCCCTCATCCTACAGCTTCCTAGGTGCTGAGAACCTGCTTTCTTATCCTTTTGTTTTTCCATCTGCAGGACTTGGGATGCTGGCCAGTGTATATACAGATGATTATGAGAGGGGAAGTGCTATGGGCATTGCCCTGGGTGGTCTGGCTTTGGGAGTGTTAGGTAAATACGTCTTTATTTCCAAATATTGGTTAGAAAACTAATGATTGCTTGGGACCTGGCATACACTGACTGAGTCATTCCTATATTCAGACAAGGTGAAGGTAGGTCCTGCATGGGAGGGGTAGGTAAGTCAGGAGCAACAGTCTTCCCTCTAGCCAACTTTTTTTAGTAATCTTCTCTATTACATAAAAACAAAGAAATAGAATACCTTTTAAAAAGAACAAATAAAATTCCGTAAAATTATTGAATCTTGATTCTATAACCCAATATCTCTCCTCATTTTTTTCCCTTCTCTTAAGCAAGGTAATGTTCCTTGAAATGATAAGCTGCTACTTAGTTACTTGACTGACCTTCCAACAAGTTTTTTTCCCCTCCCTGAGGCTCAATTTCTTCGTTTGTAAAGTGAGGAGGTTGTATTTGATATTTGTCAAGGTTCCTTGAAGATCTAAATCTATAATCTACTGGTCCTATGATTACCCCCAGGTCTTATCCTTTGCTTATCATCTTTGTTGTTGTTTTTTTTTAAACCAGAACTTCTTTTAGCTTATTCCTTAAACAATTTCCTCTTGTGGCAAGATCAAGGGACCTAGATCAGGAGATCTAGGTTTAAGTTCTGATTCTGTTTTTATTAGCTGTGTGACCTTGACAGCAAAGGACCTCATCTTTCTGAACTGTCATTATCTCATCAATAAAATGAAAAATTTGAAAGATGAGAACTAAGGTACTTTACAACAGTGTATCAAATTCAAATAGAAATGGGGGCCACTAATCTGTTCATAAAAATCCTTGCTGGCTCCATACTGACTTTTTAAAAAAATGTAATATAGTCTGTGGTTTACTGTATTTTTATTTATTTTGTTAAATATTTCCCAATTACATTTTAATTTGAGGGAATTTGAGTGTTTTAGCTCATGTATGGGCTTCATCTTTGACACCTCTGCTTTGTAGCTCTGGTAGTCCACAGTCCAGCAAATAAGTCTTTATTTGAAGATCTGCTATGTGCCCAACACTGTGTTCAGCATGAAGAAATATAAGACATACTTTCTGTTCCCAAGGATCCTGAAGTCTAATGGGGGTGTTAAAAGAGAGAGATCCGTTTACACAGACACAAAACACTATTAAGTGGTACCTTTAAACCCAGTCTCTGCCGTACCTGACCGCTTGCTGTCCCTTTGCTTTACAGTGGGGGCTCCCTTTGGAAGCCTGATGTATGAATTTGTTGGCAAACCTGTTCCCTTCCTTATTCTGGCATTGCTGGCCCTGATGGATGGAGGTGAGTGAGCCATCCTTAAAGGTAATGGGTTAGAAACATTTTGTGTCATGGTGCTAGCCGTGGGCTCTAAGAAGTTGTTACCAAAACATTTTGACAAAAATCATGGCTAGAGCCATCCAGGGAAGAAGGAAGTAGGTCACTGAAACTGCTATTGACTCTAGTAACTGCTGAAGTCTCAAGAAAAATGCACATACTGAAATTTCTTTCCCCATTTCAGCTCTACAGCTCTGTATTCTACAACCTTCCAAGATCTGCCCTGAGGTAAGCGGTACCTGTGTTATTGTTGCTGTTGTTGTTGTTGTTGTTATTGCTATTACTATTCATCTCATTCTTATCTTTTATGTATGGAGTTCAGATAGAAATTTCCTTGGGAAAGTCATTCTTCTGCTATTATTTTTTTTACATTTGATGTTCCACCGACAATTTCACAGGTGCATAAAAGAACTGTTTTTTTTGTAAGTAAATAAGGATAGTAGTAGTGCATTTTGGTTGAAAGGAACCTGGCCCCAGAGTCACAGGACTTGGCTTTAAATCCTGTCTCTGACAGTACCTGCATCAACTCAAACAAGGCATTTAAACTCTTTGGACCTTACTTGACCCACCTGTAAAATAAAGAAATTGAACTAGGTGGCCTCTGAGGGCCCTCTGGTTTTAGATCTACAATCCTAGGGTTCAGCTGAGATGTGGTAAGCTCGTCCTCTTACTCACTAAAAGCACTTTTGTGACAATTCCGGTAGCAGATAGAACGGCATTATTATTTCTATTAGTAATAATAATAATTCACATTTATATAGCACTTTGCAGTTCAGAAAGTGCATTCTTTTCCCCCTTGTCAGGTGGCTAATGCGATTACATTAAGCAATCTACTGTGTGCCAGGCACTGTACTGATCTCTGGGGACACAAGCATAAAAATGAAACAATCTCTGACCGCCTGGTCATCCTTGGTTTATAGATGATGAGACTGAGGCTAGTAGTCAGAAGGCTAATAAAGTATTTAGAATCTAGGTCTCCTGACTATGCATCCAGTGCTCTTGCCATTAGATGACTCTATCTTCTACTACAAACTCTTCATTAGTCATTGCAGGAGGTATGTTGGGTAGCTGATATGCTGGGAAGATCATACTAACTCAATCATTGCAGTTCTTACATCCAGCTGCAGGCGAATACGGTGAAAGAAGGTGAAGAATACTGATGCTTGGGAGATGAGGAAAGTGGGATTGACTGGTTTTTTTGCACCTGGGGTAGCTTCAGATAAGAAAAGAGGAGAGGACAAGGTTGTGTAAATTTGTAGGTTACAGAAGGCGGGACACGTTGCTGGATAAGAGGCAGGTTTGAGAGAGGCCGCTCAGAGTGAAGAATGTCTTGCTCTTGCTGAGAACTCCAAATCAGCACAAATTGGTATTACAACAGCATGTGGGATTATGTCATAACTCTGTGACATCTGATATTGATGCCATCGTACCTGTAAGGAAAAGTCACAGAGAGAGGGGTCAGTGATCAGTGGGCAAAAGGCTAGAAAATAAAGCAAGGATGAAGGTCTCATCTCTACTCCCATGCTTATCCTTCACCTGAGCTAAACAACTCTGCAAGGTTTTGCCCATGGTGTCCAGGAATCTCTTGACTTCTTGAGATGATGACAACTCCTAAGACATAGACATTTTTCTTTTAGGATTCCAGGGATTATAGCAAATGCTACCAGAGAATAGGATGTCTGGGTGGGTTAGTATCTAGTGTACCAGGGAATGGAGATGTGACAAGCATTTGAAATCTGTGTCCCACAGCAGAGGAGTAAACTGATCACCCCTCTACAAAGACTCTGAAAATGGGAATGGGTTCATTTGGCAAGTTAACTTATATAACCCTCCCCCCACCTTAAGTCTGGAGCCAAGATAAAATTGCTCTCCAGTTTTCCCCTGAGCTGTACGCTGCAGATAAAAGTGCCCCAAAGCAATTTATCAGGCTGTGTCTGGTAGGGAGTGACCTTTGTGTGACTAATGGTTTGATGGGTATCGGTTCTTCCACACTGTCAGAGGACACTTGAGAAGCAAGACACATAATAGGGTAATCCTGGGGGAAAAAAAGCCACTGGACTGGGATTCAGAAGACCTGGGTTCTGGTTTCAGCTCTGCCACTTATAGGCCATGTGACCTTGAAGATGTCACTTTTCCTGGCCCTCAGTTTGCTCCTTTTAAAAAAAGAGTGTTGAATTACATGAACTCTAAGTTCCCCTCCTGTTGAAATATTCTATGATTCTAAAACGGCAAGGTGGAATGTCCGGAGGGCACAATAGCATGATTAAAATGCAAACCAGTTCCCTTACTGGATTCTAACCTGGGTAGACTTGTAAGCAGCTAAGCTTGGGTCCCTGTGGGCTATCTACCTACACAGGAAATGGGAGACCTCAAAAAGACAGAAATTTAGACCCTAGCTCAGTGACAATGGAGGCATTTCACTACATAGAGGTCAAAGGACTTGAGTAGCAGCTTCCTCCAAATGCCCCTTACATTGTGTACACTTTACCTACACTCATTCATTTGGACCTCACAATAACCTAGTGAGGTAGGAGTTATAAGTATTATTACTCCCTTGCAGTAGGTGTTGTTATTCAGTCGTTTCAGTAGTGTCTGACTCTTTGTGACCTACTGTGGGGTTTTCTTGGTAAAGATACTGAATTGGTTTGCCATTTCCTTCTCTAATTCATTTTATAGATGAGGAAACTGAGGCAGAGAGAGGTTAAGTGACTTACCCAGAGTCACACAGCTAGTAAATGTCTGAGGCGGGATTTGAATTCATGTCTTCCTGACTCCAGTCCCAATGCTCTTAGAGTAGATAAAAGCATGAAAAAGCATTTAAGCATTTTCTATATGCCATGCATTGTGCTAATGAACACTGGGGATACATATACAAAACGAAGACCATCTTTGACCTCAAAGAGCTTCCATTGCAATAGAAGGGGAAAACCCCAAAAGGGACGGAAGTGGTGGTCTGAGAAGGGCATGTTGTTTGGAAAGGCTGGTGAATAGAACAAATAGAGATAGGAGTGGATAGACACACCCTTTCTAGGAACAATAGTAAGTATTGATTTGATTTTGGCTACTGAAAAGAAAAGAATGTGGGAGGAGGAGGAGGAGGAGTGTACCTCAGCTAAGTTAGAAGATGGCTAGGGGGTAGGGTGGGGAGGAAATAGAAACCTGGGCTCTATCTGCCTAATGTGGGCCTCTATGAGGCACTCACCAAGCAGGATCTCCCAGTGGTCACACAGCTAGTAAACTAGTAAATATCAAAGGCAGAATTTGTTCCTAAGTCTATGTAATAATAACAATAATATCTAGCATTTATATAGTGCTTTAAGGTGTGAAAAGCACTTTACAAACATTATCTTATTTTGTCCTCACTATCATCCAGGGAGGTAAGTGCCATTATTATGCTCATTTTACAGGTGAGGAAACTGAGGCAGACTTGTCTCTTACAGCTAGTTTCTGAAGTTGGGTTTGGACTTCCTGGCTCCAGGTCCTATTCATTGCACTATCTAGTTGCCTATAGGCAGCTATCTGACTCCCAAGTAAAGTACTCTATCAATTTTTCTATGCTGCTGCAGGAGTTTGGAACTAGACCAGGGGTGGGGAACCTGCAGGCCACATGTGGCCTCTCAGGTTCCCCACCCCTGGGCTAGACATTACCCTGGCTCTGTCACTAACCAGCTATGTGACCTATTAGATTATAGTTTCTATGAGATTTAAAATCCTTTGGGGCTGGGACTAGATCTTTAAAATCTTCACACACCTCATAATACCCAGGAAGCCTGGCATCTTGTTCATGATAGATACTTACTAAACATTTGTTGAATAAATGAATGAAAGGATGGATGAATGACCCTTCACTTACTTTGAGCTTCATTTTGTTCATTGATCAAACAGGAATAATACAGCCTGTTTTATCTAGTCCATACACAGAAGAATATAGATGTAGACATGTTTTAAGAAGAACAAGTTGCTATTACAATCAGAAAGAATTTTCATTTCCTTCAAAAGGATTTTTTTATTTCCTCCAGAGTTCCAAAGGCACTCCCATCTTAACTCTTCTGAGAGACCCTTACATCCTGGTGGCTGCAGGTAACCTTTCTCGCTGGGATAGAAAGGGAGTTGGGGGCTTTGGCTGGGGCAGCTGGAGAGCTCATCAGAACCATCTCTTCAGGTTCCCTCTGCTTTGCCAACATGGGCGTGGCCATACTGGAGCCTACACTGCCTATATGGATGATGCAGACCATGTGTTCCCCCAAGTGGCAACTGGGTAAGTATCAGATCCTCAAGCCATCTCAGCGGGAGTGTGGAGCAGGTGGTGGGGGGAGTAGTCTTCTTTTGTTGGCTTGACACTTTCCAAATGGCCCAGAGGTCAGTCTCTCTAGCTGGGCTCCAAAAGGTGGACTGTCTCCTTTGATGGGGCAGTAGAACTATGTTTTCTTGTTTTCTCTCCTATGCCTGGTATACATGAGCTAAGTCTGAGGACATTAGGGAGGGAAGAGGGAAGGAGGAATAGGACACTTCTGGGCCTAGATTTTGGATTTTTGGGAAAGGAAGCAAAAATAAAGTGGTTCCTAGCTGCTGGAAAGAACAAGGATTTGCGATAAAGTGAGAATAAGCCCTAACCAATTCAAAAGTAAATGAGAAGGAGGGGGGGGACAACATTTGCTAAATGATGGAGGGTAGGGAGTACTAAGGCTTATGTTAATGTCAACAATCCATTTTTTCTTTTTTATTTCCCTGTCTGTCTATTCAAATCACTAAATAACCCTCCCTTCTTCTTCATCTCCCCTCTCCACCTACCTGGCATAGTGGGTAGTGCACTGGACTTAGGATCAGGGAGACCTGAGTTCAAATCCTGCCTCAGATCCTTACTGGTTGTGTGATCCTGGACATGTCACTTAAACTCTTGTTGAGCCTCATTTTATTCATGTTGTGAGGATCAAATGAAATAATATGCATAAAGTACTTTTCAGAACTCAAAGTGTCTTATTAAAAATGTTAGCTCTTCTTCTCAGGCCTAGATCTTCAGGCAGCTCCACTGTGACTTCTTTCCTCCTTCAAGGTAGACTTTGATTTTTTTTTTTGTAAGTTCATCTTGCCTGTGTGAGAATGCCAGGGAAAAGAAATGGGATTCAGTGAGAAGGGGGTGATTTTCCCTGGTCTGTAACCCTGTTCTCCCTTGTGCAAGGCTGTGGATCCAGGGCTAGTAACTCCAATTTCCCCATGCCCCTGGTCCTTTGACTACCTTTCAGGAAGAAACCTCTACAACACAGTTTGGGTCACCAGTGGGGCCCCAGCTTTTTCCAGGAAGTCCAAGGCAGAGGGACAGGGAAGGCTACGTGCCAATTAGTCACAGTTGCTGAAGTCGAAGCTGGTGGCAATGGGGAAGGGAGAAGCTGATAGAGATACGATGTTTGCTGAATGCCCAATATAATGTTCCAAATCTAATTTTCTGGGAGGACAATGTGAGGTTAGGCTCTGATCTGTACTCCCCACTTTCTCCTCAATTGAATTTCCCTCACCAGAAGCTGGCTCTGGCCATGACCGTTAATCAAATTAGGTCCTATTCAGGAGGTACCATTCGTACAGATAATATTCCCCCTGGCTCTTTTGACTCTTGGTGGAGGGCGAGTGACAGATGCAAGCTTCCCTGAGCTGTGGCTTCCTTGCTTGGGAACAAGTCATGGGAAGGCCTGAGAAAGCATTTCAAAAAATCTTAGGGTCATAGATAAAAGCCATTTAATCCAAACCCCTCATTTTATAGATGAGGAAACTGAGGATCAGAGAGGTGAGAAGACCTTCCCTTGATTACACAGGGAGTAAGCATCGGAGATAGAATTTGGATCCAATTCCTGGATTTTCAGAGGCTGTGTTTTTTATTCTAGACTAACATAGAATTCTAGAGCTGGAAGGCACCTCCGGGCTCCCCTTATTAGAACACCTTCATCTTCCAGAGGAAGACACTAAGTCCTGGGGAGGGAAAGTCACTTGCTCAAGGTCACCCAGTGAGTGAGTAGCAGAACTAGAATCAGAACCCAGGATTCCCAGTTCAATACTTTCCCTACCACATCACACCACTTTTGGCCTTCTGGATGCTGCAATCATTTTGTTGAACGAGGACACTGATGCATTTGCAGATTGCTAAAGTAGAAAGCATTTACCTCTTATAAGCCCTTTCTCTAACATTTTGCCCTGAATTCAGCCTAAAAGAAACACAGCTGTGATATAATCAATTATACCTGAATATCTGAGGCACACTAAAAAGCAATGTCCTACCACTGCAAAGGGTTTGCTGTGCAGTCTGTCCATGGCTATAAGTAGCATCCTTCCACTCTGGCACCTCTTTATTCACTGAATGCTGATCAAAAGGGAATGGATTACACGTTGCAAGATGTTGCCAAACTCTGTTTGATAGCTAAACTCCTGGTTCATGGAGTAGAATGAAGCAATAACTGAGATGTCAGAAATGTATCTAAGAGACCAGAGGGTTTCCAGGAAGTAACTTTACCCAAGGCACAATAGGGTAGCTATTGCCTTTATTAAAAAGAGTAATTATTATAGACCTGCAGGATCAGCTAAAACAGCTGTCATTTAGTGTAGACAAACTATGCCAGAGGCACTTTGTTTCCTGTCTATTGAAAGTATATATTGAAAATAAATAAGTCACACCTAGTAATTTGTGAAACATTTATCTCTGGCCTAATTATAATTTCAGTGGTTATTTATCTTTTAAAGTATGGCAATATTGCTTCCCCTTAACCCAGAAAGAAGTAGGAAATGGGGCCAAAGACACAGAGGAGGAAACCAGGCCCCTGATTTGGACTGCTTATTTATTCCTGGTGTTTGTAGTCCAAAAGGACTTATTGCATTTCTCTCTCTCTCTCTTTCTCTCTCTGTCTCTCCTTCTCCCTCTCCCTCTCTCTCCCCTTCCCTCTCTTTCTCTCCCTAGCTCCCACACATAATAGGAGATACACACAGTATCTTATTTTCTCATGAAAGTGCTAGATAGCATAGGACCCAATAAAAGCCATTGAGTTCCAATCATGGGTTAACATGCCACTACTTGTCCCAGCCATGAATTCTAACGCTATGTCTTTCTCTGGGTGTGGCAGCTGCCCTTTTGGGTCCGCTAAGATTGTGAGAACATTGGACAGATGAGAGAAGTGTCTTTTACTTAAGACCCTGACACTTCCTGTTTTGGTTTGTTGTTTTTGTTTTTCAGGCAATTGGGGTTAAGTGACTTGCCCAGGGTCACACAGCTAGTAAGTGTCAAGTGTTTGGTCTAAGGTCAGATTTGAACTCAGGTCCTCCTGACTTCAGGGCTGTGCTCTATCCACTGTGCCACCTAGCTGACCCTACTTCCTGTTTAGTATGGTTTCTCTTACCCCTAGTTCTGGGCAGTTATCTGGTAAGTGTGCCCTAGTATAGAAGCATGGCCAGGAGGGAAAGTGGATAATGGCTCCATGAAAATCCATCCACACTGCTGGTGTTTGGAAAGTGGGGTGTTACTTAAAACTCTGAGATTTGCTGCTGTTGAGTCAGGGGCATCACCTTCATAAACGGAAGTGTTCTTCACAGCTGTAGATCCAGGGACATTAGAAAGGGAAAGACATTCTAAAGGCATTGTATAGTGCCTTTCCATTTATAAAATACTTTTACAATTCATATCTCATTTGATTCTTACAACAATGCCATGAAAAAGAAAGTGTTACTATTAGCCAAGCCAACAAGCAATTATTAAGCACCTACTATTTGCTAGACATTTTGGGGGGGGGGGGTTAGGCAATGGGGTTAACTGACTTGCCTGGGGTCACACAGCTAGTAAGTGTCAAGTATCTGAGGCCAGATTTGAACTCAGGTCCTCCTGATTCCAAGGCCAGTGCTCTATCCCCTGTGCCACCTTAGACACTTTCTATGCCTCCCCCCCCCCAAATCCCCGTTTTCAAAGAGCTCAATCTAATGGGGGAAAGGGAGGGGACCATGTATAAACAAAACATACTGGAGAAATTGGAGATGATCTCAAAAAGAAAGTAATAACTATTAAAGGGGATTGGTAAGTCTTCTTGAAGAAGGTGGGATTCTAGCTGAGATGACTTGAAGGAAGCCAAGGAAGCCGAGAGAGAATTACAGATTTTAGGGAACAGCCAATGAAAATGCCCACAGTAAGGTGATGGAAAGCCTTTTTAGAGGAATAGCAAGGAGGCCACTGTCACTGGGTTGTATGAAGGTATAAGAAACCTGGAAAGATAGGAAGGGGACAGGTTATGAATTATATTTGACCCTGGAGGTAATAGAGGGTGGGGTGACATGGTCAGACCTGTACTATTATCACCCCATTCTACAGGTTAGGAAACTGAGGCTTTAAGAGGCCAGTGACTTCAGTTCCAGTTAACATCTGGACAATGACAAAAAAAAAATTACCAAGGTACAGAGATCTGATTCCTAAATCAATGTTCTTCCCACTACACAATGGTAATAGTTAACATGAATAATAAGCATTTTCCTTTGCCTCCCAAGCAGGAATGTTCCCTACCTCTTTTCACTCATTTCACCCATGGTTTGAAGCAAGAACTACAGTGCTCAAGTTAACATCATCCTGTGTATTGGTCATTCTCTGCCACAGGTCAAGGTGTAGGTGGGAAGGCAACATACCTGCTTTGCACAGGGATTCCCTTTGTTGTATGAGGCCCAGAGTGAATGGGGGGTTTGTAAAATAGAGAAAAGGTTTTCTCTGACTATCCTAGGGAGTAAAGTATAGGACAGGGGCACGATTCCTTCAAAGGGAGAAGTTCCGACAGGAGCAAAAATGAGAAAGCCCAAAGAAGTGTTTTTCTCTCTCTAGGTCTAGCCTTCCTGCCTGCCAGTGTGTCCTATCTTATTGGCACCAACCTCTTTGGGGTATTGGCCAACAAGATGGGTCGGTAAGTAATCTGTAAGTTGGAGAGGGTGTAGAAAGGCAAGATAGTGGTTGTAGCATCTGTTAAGGAGATCATGGAATCACACAAAGTTAGAACCAAAAGAAACAACTTTGTTGTTGCTGTTCAGTGATTTCAGTCATGTCCAATTCTTTGTGACCCCATTTGGGGTTTTCTTGGCAAAGATATTGGAGTGGTTTGCCATTTCCTTCTACAGCCCATTTTACAAATGAGGAAACTGAGGCAAATAGGGTTAAGTGACTTGCCCAGGGTCACACAGCTAGCTAGTAAGTATCTGAGGCCAAATTTGAACTCAGGAAGATGAGTCTTCTTGACTTAAGGCCTGGCACTCTATTCACTTCACCACATAGCTGCCTTCTTAACTTCTTAACTACCTGAAAAGTGAAGTGAGCTCCCTCATGAGGTACTGGGGTCTCCATCACTTGACATCTTCAAACAAAGGGTGGATGGCCACTTGTCTGGGATATATTATAGGGGGTTCTTGTTCAGATATTAATGGCCTCTGAGGGTCTTTTTTATCTGAGAAATTTTGGAGTTTCTTCTAAACAACATGATTTTCCGTCTTAGACTATCAAAGCCACCTTGGATGTTATTGAAGGGAAGTCCACATAAGGATGGAGAATTTGTCCATCGATGTACTTATTGAGCATCTACCAGGTTCATGGCACTGTGCTAAGACCTAAGAGGGGCACATAGGAAATATAAGACACAATCTTTATTCTTTAGGCTCTTATGATTTAGCTGGGAGTGGGGTTGGGAAGGACATACTCATAAAAAAAGATCACTAAGAACACAAGCAGTACATGACCAGCAAATGCCAAAAGGAGTAGTGTAGTCAGTTTACTGGGCATCAAGAAGGAAAAGTACATCATAGGTTAAGGTGATCTGGGAAGGACTTATTGAGGTTTTGTGCTGGGCCTTGAAGAATGATTAGGACTTAGATCAATGAAGGGAGAGAGAGGGCATTTCAAGTAGGGCAAATGGCCTGAGCAAAGACTCAAGAGCGATTCTCATAGTTCAGATATCCACCACATCTCCTCTAGAAAGAAAAAGAGAAAAGAGTGTCTTCCCACGAGGTGAAGCAATGTCTACATCTAGTCAGGTCTAGAGATGTTGCTTTGTTTAAATAGGAAGTAGTTTCTGGAAATGGTACTCAGATAGTGTACTAACTGGCCATCTTTGGTAGTGATGGGGTTAGGGTTGGGGCTGGAGGTAAATGATGTCTCCCTAAAGTGGTTGCTTGCTTCCTTTTTATAGATGGCTTTGTTCTTTGATTGGAATGTTGGTAGTAGGTACCAGCCTGCTCTGTGTGAGTATATCTAGGTATCTTTGGGTTAGACCAGCCCCTAGGGACCCAGCTTCAAAGCCAATTCTTTTGAGAAACAAGGCAGGACAACAAATGTCCATCTTCTATTCCCTGGTGGAAAAACCTTCACTGAAACAAAGGCCTTATTCAGGGGCTCAAGATCTGGGCAAGAGGTGATGACACAGGTTGAAACTGGTTTGGGTAACCACAAATTATAATTCCTGTCACTATTCAACATGAGACTTGAAGGTGGGAGGGGAGAGAAGATAAGAAAGGGTACCTTAGTGAAGGAAGAAAAAGCCAGAATGACTGAGAATCAGTGTAGTATAGCCTGGGACCTATGGGTTAATGATGTTTCAGAGAATTCATACCAAGATATCCTTTATTCAGTCCTTCCCAAGACTAGAACTGTGACAATAGCTGAAATGGAAAGGTCCCTTCCACACAGAAGTAATCCATTGTGACAACATTCCAAATAAATCAGAGAAATAGGAAAATGATTGTTCTCTTTAAAAGAATCTCCTTTTAAAATGTAAATATACCTGATAACAAGTTATCAGTTGTTAATACTTTACTTATCAGTTAATATGTCATTGGAGATTAGTATACTTTCAAAAGAATGGGACAAAGACTAAGTTTGGGGGAAGAGAGGGAACTAGCCCTGAGAAGTTTGTGAGTGTGTGTGTGTGTGTGTGTGTGTGAGTGTGTGTGTGTGTATGTGTGTTGTTAAAGGTTCTAAATTTTTTTATGTCATGGTGACTTTTGGCAATGTAGTGCAATCTATGGACCTCTTTTCATAATAATATTTTTAAATACATAAAATAAAACACACAGGATTACTAAAGAAGTCAATTATAAAATTGTAAATTTTTTTTACAATACAAGTTCACTGACCACCCCCCTCAAAAAAAATCTATCCATTGACCCCAGGTTAAGAATCCCTGTTATAGGCCATAGAGGTGGTACATCAAAGTTGAACTGCACTTATCTAACCATTTTTCCCAGGGTCACTTTGACTGTACCATGAAATAATTTTTTATCCCATTTTTAGTATGAGTTGACATAGACTGTCAGCCCCAGCTGTAGTATAGTTCTTTCAGTTCAGTGTTTGTTGAAGACTTACCTACTCCCTTTATACACACACACACACATACACACACACACAAACACACATACACATACACACATACATATTCAGTTAGGAACTTCGTGAAAACTTTTTGATGATAACAATAACAATGGAGAACAAGAATGTGAAGGTTTAGATGTGGGAAGAATCTGTGGTACAGAGCTGCCTACTCCCTTTATACAACCATCAGAGACCTTTGGATAACATTCATAGGGTGTCACACCTTGAATACTCTCTGCTTTTGTTTTTCCTCAAAGGTTCCTCTTGCTCAGAATATTTTTGGTCTCATTGGCCCCAATGGGGGACTAGGCTTTGCTATTGGTAAGAACTTTCTTCAAAGAAGGAAGCCAAGCATGCAATTCTTCCTCCATCCTGTCTCCCTTCCCTCTCCTCCCTATTTCAGCTTTCCTGGGCCTGAGAACTCACCTTGATATTGAGTTCTGGGTCAGCTGGCTTCCCTGATCCTTCCTCTGGTCTAGGCTGGGTATGGGGAGTGAATGAGGGAGAAAGAAGAAATGAGGTAAAAGCAGTGGTGAGGAATTGCTGTTTGGGAAAGGCTTTGTAATTCCTACCTGGGGGAGGGAAGGTAGAGGAGAGGAAGAAAGAAAGAATTGAATTGGAAAGTGGATGGAGTAGAGATAAAATGAAAAAGAGAGAACCCAAGGAAAGAAGGAAGCGGAAAAGCATATATGCAAAATGCAGAAGGAAGAAGGCTGGGTAGGACAGAGTCCAGCAGGCCAGGAGGAATGATAGTGACTAATTGTGCTGTTTGCTTTGGCCACAGGCATGGTTGACTCTTCCATGATGCCCATCATGGCACACCTGGTGGACCTTCGCCACACATCTGTGTATGGGAGTGTCTATGCCATCGCTGATGTGGCTTTCTGCATGGGATTTGCTATTGGTATGGCCCCTGGAGAGACAACAGTCTAGACCTGCTTCCCCATAAGCTCTTGTCCCATTCCATCTCCTCGTTCCCACTTTGATTAGTCACTCAGTTTTAAATCGAGGTGGAATATCCAAAACACTCTTTGTTTCTCATGGCTGACCCTCGGTCCTGGGACCTTTGACTTATGTGACCATCTCCTTTCTGTATCCTTCCTACTTTCCAACAGCACAGTACCCACCCTCTTTCTGGTCTGTCTGGTGGATCTATGATAAATGCTTGATTTAACCCTTGCAGGGCCATCTACTGGGGGTGCTATTGTCCATGCTATTGGTTTTCCCTGGCTTATGGTCATCATCGGAGTCATCAACATTGCCTATGCTCCACTCTGCTACTACCTTCGAAGCCCCCCAGCCAAGGAAGAGAAGATTGTAAGGGACTGATTCTAACCATGCTGAAAGGGCCCCTCTTTTCTCTTTTCCTTCTTCCCTTTCCCTCATATTTCTCTGCCTTCCTCCTTTTCTATCCTTTCTCTCTTCTCTCATGAGCTTTTCCACCCTTTTTCATGGTAATTGTGAGGAGAGGCATCATAGGTTAGTAGGTAGAGGATTGATCTTGTAGTGAAGAAGTTCTGGGATCAAGCCCTGTCTATGGCACATGCTAGTTGAGTGTGATACATGGAGAAGTCATTTAATTTTTGAGTTCCCTGGGCTACTCATGACAGTAAGTTACCTAGAAGTGGCTGAGATACAGTGGTATATGAAGTTTCCACATTGGGAACTCACACTGATGAAATCACACATCCACAATAACAATTACTATGGCAATAATAATTCACCTTTCTGTTGAAGGTTTCTGCCTTACTTCTTCAAGGTTTATCTTATTTCCTCTTTCCTTTTCTACCTCTCCCTGTGGGTTCACAGAACATAGAAGTATTACTCAGTGACATTTGAAGGCTGACTGTGAATCATGAATTTAGTTGAGTTTGAATGGATGCAGGAAGCCTAAAAAGGAAGATCTTGGGCCCTTTCAGACTTTGATGTGAAAATTCACTTTGCCGAGACTTTGGGGATAGTTGGAGGGTGGTTGAGAACTAAGGTCTATAGACAAAGTGATAGGATTTTCTCTTTCTGTCTCTTTCTATAGGCAATTTTGAACCAGGAATGCCCAATGGAGACTAAGATCCATGGAATGCAGAAGTCTCAAAGGGAATTTCCTCTAAGTGATGGCAGTGAAGAGGAAGCAGAAAGTGAAGAATAGTGGGAGAAAAGGAGGCTCCTGCTTTGGGGACCTGGTGGGCATTGCTCCATATTGATGTCTCTCTCTCTTCTCCTTTCCCTGAAAAGTCCAATCTTGAAAGATACAGAACAAAATGCCTTCTAGATACTCTGTCCTAGGACTCTTCTTCCTTTTCTATCACCACCTGGGAAGGAAAAAAATTGAGACCTATGGGTTGTATTAAGCCAATTTCCTTTTCCTCCAGATACTTTGCTTGACCCATCCTTCCAGTTAAGGGGTAGAGAGGTGATTACTATCTTGCAAGGCTATTATGAAGCCAATTCAACGTAAGCAATGTCATCCATTGCTAAAGGTTGTTGGAGGAGGGTGCAGGGAGAGCACTAATCATGAGGAGGTACTCAGAGAGCACGGTGGGCTTATGTTCTTTTTGTCTTCCCAACCTATGCTGGATCTGACTGCTTTTCATATGTAGCATGTTGCAGTTGCTCTCTGGTCATTGACATGATGGACCCAGGTACATTAATTTGTTTTTAAGGGGTTGTAAGAGGTTACAAAATCTGTCTAGCTCAAGAAAAACCCCAGGAACATTGATATCTAGCTGTTTTACTCCAAAAGGGCCTCAGTTTCCCAGCAAGCATTTAGGATAACAAGGCATTAGATATAGGACAGGTTTTATTTAATGCAATCCAAAAAACACATAAGAGCTCATACTGCATTTGGCTATTTACTATCATTGTAGGCAAGTTATTTCACTCCCTAGGCCTGAATCCTTTCATCTATAAAATGAAGGAGTTGGACTAGATGACCTCTAAGGTCTTTACAATCCAGTCTAAGACTTTAGGATCCCCGGGCATGTTAAATCTTATCTTATCATCCCTGAGTTGATCCCTAGGGTTGTAGGAGCTTGGAAATTAGGAATTTGAGTTAAAGCTAGAACAAAGACTTTGTTGTAGGGCAGTTCACAAAGAGAATTCACACATTGTCCAGGGGCACAAGAAGGAGAAAGGGGCTGCCTACGGTTCTCACTGCCATGTAATTCAGGGGCATTCCCAATGTGCTGCCTTCCTTTCTAGCCTTTGGAGGCACTTGGTTTTCTCATTTCATATGCTCCCATCTGGTCTTTTCTGGCTGGGTGGAGAAGGCTGCTTGTGGGTCTTACTCTCTGTTTCATAATAGTAATAATAATGATGATAGCTAACATTAATATAATGCCATCTATGTGCCGGGCACCGTGCTAAGTAAGCACTTTACAAATATTATATCCTAGTCATGAATCTACTTCTTTTTCTGTTTCTGAACTTATAGTTGTAAAATAGATTTTGCCACCATGCAAATAACATTATCCTGGAGTTCTTAAAGCTCAATCCCCTGATGTTTTCACTATTTTCATAGAATATAGAAGATTTAGAATTGGACAGGACCTTAACAATCACATTGTCAAAACTCATTTTACTAAGAAGAGTGATGTGTAAGGTCACATAAGTAGTAAGTAGGAGCTGGGATGAGAATATCAGGCTTTTTTCTATTAGACAAAGTTTGGTCCTTGTTCTTGCCTTGCCCCAGAATTTGATAAACTAGAAGCCTTAACTTTAAGTATCTTAAGAAGTAAAAAAAAAAGGATACTCAGAAATCCACACTGGAGCAACACAATTTGTGACGAGAAATTTTTCATACTTGTTAATGAAAAATTAAAGGTGAGATTAATAAAATTAAGTGTAAGAAAACTATTGAATTAATAAATAAAGCAAGGAATAGGTTTTATGAAAAAAAAACCAACACACTAGATAAACCATTGGTTAATATGATTTAAAAAGAGAGAGAAAAAACCCAAGTCACTATTATTAAAAATGAAAAAATTGAATCTACCACCAATGAAGATAAAATTAAAGCAATTATAAGGAGCTATTTTGCTTAATTACATACCAATAAATTTAACAATTTAAGTGAAGTGGAAGAATATTTACAAAAAGCTGAATATTTGTTACCTAACAGCCCTATCCTTTCAAGCTCTATATAAAAAAAAAAATCTGTGTATGTGAATATAATCATTATTAAAATTATATCCCATCAATTTCGACAACATTTATTGAACACCTGCAATATGTAGGGGTTATAAGTGCTAAGACATAAGACATGATTCCTGTTCCCAAAGAGTCACAATCTAGTTAAGAAGGAACACATTTTTTTTCCCAAAATACCAAGTAGCATACTTTAAGTGATAATAATAATAGGTAACATTTATATGATGCTTTAAGGTTGTAAAGGAGTTTGTATGTATTATCTCATTTGATTCTCACAACAACTCTGTGAGGTAGGTATATTATTATTTTCATTTTACAAATGAGTAAACTGAGGGAGGGTAAATGACTTGCCTGGTCTTCCTGACTCCAAGTCTAGCTTTCTCTTGGCTCTGTCAGACTACCTCCCATAAGTACCCAATTAACCTTAATTGTACCATTATTGACAAATGAATAGTATATACCAATAAGTAATACAGAAGGGGTTCAGAGGATAAATACTGTGTTTCTGTTAGTCAATGATTATTAAGGGCTAGAGCAACCAAGAAAAGCTTCATGGAGGAGATGGGATTTCAAACTTAACTGGAGCAGAAGGTTTATGTAGGGAAGGAGTGGGAAATAAGATGGGAGATGTAGGAAAGGATTAGATTGTAGAAAGTTTTGAATGCCAGACTAAAGTTTAAATTTTATCTTGTGAGTACTAGGGTGCCATTGAAGATTTTAAGTAGAATGATAGGATGAAAGAATTAGAGCTAGAATGTTCCTTAGAAATGATCTAGTTCACTAACAACCATGCGAAAGAATGCTCCAAATCATTAGTAAGAAAAATACTAATCAAAACAGTCTTGAAATTTTACCTCATACCCAGCAAATTAGCAAGGACCACAAAAATAGGGATAGTCAATGTTGAAGGGCTTACGGAATGTAAGGCACACTAATGCCTTGTTGGGGGAGCTGTGAATTACTACAACCATTTTGGAAAGCATTTGGAATTATGCAGACAGAATGACTAAAATGTCATACCCTTTGACCCAGACATTCCATGGTTAGGCAAATACTCCAAGGAAGTAATTGACAAAAAGACAGATTCCATGTAGACCAAGATATTTTTAGCAGCATTTGTTGTGTTAGGAAAGAACTCAAAACAAAGTAGATACCCATCGATCGGGGAATAGCTAAGCAAATTGTGGTAAATGAACGTAATAGAATATTGCTGTGCTGTAAGAAATAATGAACATAATGTATACAGAGAAACATGGGACAATTTACACAAACTGTTGCAGAGTGAAGTAGGCAATGATAGCAAAACAATATACGCAATGACTACCACCATGTAAATGGAAAGAAGCAACCACATGGAAACAATCGGTAAATGAGAACTGTGAAATTATAAAGAACAAGCTTGGCCCCTAAAAAGAGATATAAGAGATCCTTTACAGAGATAGGGGGATTCACAGATGTAGAATATTGTATATAACATCATTTTGTTGTTGTTGTTGTTGTTTTATTGGTTGATTTTGCTGATTTCTTTTCCTAATCTTTATGTTTTACGTTTGTTTGTCATAATGATGACTCTCAGAGAGGGCAGAAAAAGGGATGTAGGGGGAAATCTAGACGATGTAAGGCAAGTGATATTAAGAAAAATCTATTTAAAAAAGTAATATTTTGTTTCAGTCTTCTTGTCTTATAGACTAATAGACGTTAGAAGGCGTTTTATAGAAAAGAAGACTTAGAAAAAGTTAAGTGTCTTTCCAAAGGTCACACAGGCAGTGGAGCTGGGCTACAAACCCAGGCCTCTGACTCCACAGCCGCCATGTTTTTCCACAGACAGATGTTGGATAATTGTTGCATTTCTGATTAGTAGCCTGGGTTACACTCATTGCACAAATTTTTCCTCAGCTCCCTCTCTAATCTCTGCTTGAGTATCAGAAATAATTTACAAATTCCACCAGACACAGGGGCAGCTAGGTGGCGCAGTGGATAGAGCACCAGCCCTGGAGTCAGGAGGACCGGAGTTCAAATCCGGCCTCAGACCAAACACTTGACACTTATTAGCTGTGTGAACCTGGGCAAGTCACTTAACCCCAATTGCCTAAAAAAAAACCAAACAAACAAACAAAAAAAAATTCCACCAGAACAAAGATTCACCCAATTGTTTTCCAGGTCTGAGAATCTCTCTCTTGACTAAATGCTTACCAGTGGGACAATGTACCTTCCTTTCCCTGCCTGCCCCTCCCCCCTCCTCTTTTTTGACCAGATCTGTGATTTCATTAATAGGGGAAAATCTACCAATGTAGATTGGTAAATGATCTACAGCTTATAGTAAAAAAGAATTGCCTTGAACATTGAAACTTTCCCAGGTCATCAAGTCAGTATGGGTCAAAGGTAGGACTGGAATCTAGATCTAGATTCTGAGGCCAGAAACCCAAAGATGGACTTTCAGTAACTGGCCTGACCTGGGATCAGAAAGGAAACTAGAGAAGAATTTGTGCAATGAATGTGCTACACCCTATGTTGTTGTTGTTCAGTCATTTCAGTCTCTTCATGACCCCACTTGGGGTTTTCATAGCATAGCTACTGGAGTGGTTGGCCATTTCCTTCTCCAGATCATTTTACAGATGAGGAAACTGAGGCAAACAGGGTTAAGTGGCTTGCCCAGGGTCACACAGCTAGTGTCTGAAGCCGGATTTGAACTGAGGTCTTCTTGATTCCAGGCCTACTGTTCTATCCACTGCACCAACTAGCTGCCCACTACACCCTATAGTTCTCCTTTATGGATGTGTTTTTGGGTGCTAGATTGTATACTCATTGATTAATTTGGCCTAATTAACAAACCAGACAGAGACAATAGAGACAAACTAGCAGGACAAATGGCATTTACCCTAGACTTTAGAAAGAATTCAAGGATGGAATCTGGGATTTGGGCAAAGGCCTGTGCCAGAGGGCTGGGGATCACCAGTCTGGTATGATTAATTAAAGGCATGCATTAATTGGTTCACATTA